CTAACAATAAATAATAAATCATCTTTTTATCTTCTTATGTGCTTCCATGCTTAGCTTTGTAGAAAAACTAAAAACTAAATACAATCAGGAGTAGCAATGACATCAAAGCCTGGGCTGCAAAATATCATAGAACATACCTGAGAACGAGTATTTCATCGGTAACTTAAAAATGGCAGCTTAACATAGTAAAAGAAACACACTGAGCAACCAAGTAGAACAAATATACACGCCTGACACTCTCATGAACTCACAAAGTGGGGAAATGACAAAGTTCTGATTGCTGTCACTTTGACAAGATGATCTGGAAACTTGGAGGAAATGTAAATGAGAAGAAACAAAAATTTCCTGCTCAAAGCTGAATGATACAGAAAGCAAATAATTTTTTAAAAGAAACAGGTTCTCAGGTAAATAAATAACAGATAAATATTTCGGCAATATGCTCATACTGACTGTTCAAACACAAAAATAACACAAATGATAATTAAAAGCATTCATATAGTGCTTTATCGCGTTAGGAAATGAGCAGTGAGCACTGTACAATCATTTCAAGTTGTCACCACCAATTTTTTTTTTTAAACCGTTCCTGAAGTGAAACAGAACACTAAACTTAAATGTCAAGCAGGGGCCACAAGATATCATCCTGCGGGCCTCAATTAGCCGCGAGTTTGAGACCCCTGGATCAGAGCTTCCCTGGTGTTCGGACTAGTTCTTCACTGCACACATAGCATAGCACCAGGACTTAAGGAATTTTCCAGAATTTCCCTGTTTCAGCTTTAGTTTTAGTCAGTTTTACAGAAATTGCAACACATATAGGTCATGTAAGTGTCGAAGATTAGTTGTGTTACTAAAGAGTAACATTAACATACAAAAAAAGAAAAGAAAGGAAAGATAAGCAAACTAGATGTTCGATAAATAAGAGGATTAAACCACACCAGAGCGCCTGCCAGCCACCCAGTCACATAGCATAGCACCAGAACAAAAGGAGCCTCCCAACATTTTTCTCTTTAGCATAGACAAGTGGAAGTAGAAACAAAGTAACACCAAAGGTTTGGTCTTGCCGACTGAGACAAAGATAACGGTGTGTACTGACTTCAGAAAGATCCCATGACACATTTTATGCATGTATGCGGAAAGTTGAAAAATTTGTTCTCCATCGTTGATCCCAAAAAAATTTTTGATTTTATAAAGACCATTGGTCTTTACTCAAAGATGTAGATATTACTAATTTTAAAAAATGTAAACTTTTGTTTTTAAAACTGAATTTTTACCATCATGAAATTTCAAACTTCAACCATTCCGACTTTACACGGTAAAACCAAGCTGTGCTGTGAAACAACGAGAAATCAACAACCTGAGTCTTCTATGCTCATACAACTTAATGTAATTGCGAGCAACGTAAAACTCTTACCAAACAAAACAAAAGATGATGGCACAGAAAGCTGACACAGACAGCAGGAATGTGAGGGTCTTGTGTTTAGTTTAGTTTCAGTAAGTGTTTTACAGCACTTGCAACACCATAAGGTCATACAAGTGCCAAAGATTAGAGGCTAGAGGTGTTACAAGAGAGTAACAAACACAAAAAACGGCAGATAAAAACGATTGATGTTTGATAGGAAAAAAGAAGCAAACCACACAAGAGCACCTGCCAACCATCCACAGGGTCTTGTGTTAGGTGAACAGCATGGACAACTCAGAAACACAACGCATGCCAGAAACTTTGGACCAGAACGGTCAGAGAAGCACTTAACATAATACTAACAATTGTGTTTATAGAGCGTATATCCATACTCCACAGCTTGCTCTATGCCCTTTACAACTACTACTACCCCGGCAGACCTTACAACACTCAGAAGCATTCCCAGCTTCCTGAGACGCATACAGAGCAAGTGACCAATTAAGCGCTCATACATTATCAACCAAAACCCACAAGATCTTTCTGTATATACAGTCGGGAACCCGTTGCCACCTGAGTGAAATGATGAGAATTTGTGTATCTGCAAATTTACATTTTCTTGTGACTCTGGTCAATGTTTTTCAGTAAAATCCACACAGAAATATGTACATGGACATAAAAGGTGTTGAGCCAAATAAAAAAAAATCCCTAAAATGACAGAAATTGTCCATCGGCACAAATTTTTTTTTTTTTTTAATTTCATTGTTATGATGAGCGCCTGATTTCACCACCATGCCACATACTTTATCACTATGTTTATTTGTCTTGTAATACTTCAAAACAAGAAGCAGTTTCATAATTCCGAATTAACCCTTAGAGTAAGTTACAGCCCCTGTCGCATATATTTCCCTCACCAGTTCTCATTCCCTCAGGCCCAGTTATGTATTTCCCTCACAGGATGCCAGCCAACTCAAACTCAGTCTGGCATAATATATACGATAAAAATATCGTATTGCATTCAATTGCCTGTGAAAAATGTTCTACGTGATATCTCATAAAACTAAAACTTCAAACAAGAGCGGTACAGAAATGTTTTTACTGTTGGCAAAAAATGATCGTTTTTAAGGACAAGCGGGCTAACCCAGATTTCGGGGGTTTCCAGAAATCGTGACTTACACCAAAAGTGAGCAGTGCTCTACCAATAGGCGAAGTTTGGTTTCATTGGTGTATATTTGTTTGGATATAGAGAAAACGCTCCTTGTCTTTTAAAGAAACTGAACAAGGGTCCAAAAGTTTTACCTTTGATATTCTCAGAACAACATTTTTCAGAATAGCCCCTTTGTGCTTAAAAGCAACCAAATTACAGCCACAATCACTGTTGGCTGAGCCTGTGGAGTCAAGGACTGCTGTATTATCTCAGCCAGAGGGAAGCGAGGGCTAAAAATACCCTGGTTCTGTATGTGTTACCGTACATACATTGCTAGGAAAGCTTTCAAACAAAATGTTTCCAATGAATTTTTATTAATTTAAAATATGAAGTGTAGGAGAGTGCCGGGATTAAAGAAGATCATGAGAGAGAGAGAGAGGGAGGGAGAGAG